ACCCCTTCCCCCAATTAACAATGCACGTACAGAGGCCACCGTGTGCTTAAATCTTCAAACAGCCTGGGTAGAGCTGGGAGCCAGTACGTCCACTGAAGTTTGACTTGGTCGGTCAAATGTGTTAATATTTCCGACATGTTTTAACGTTTGGCATCTAAATGTGAGCTTCCCCAGATGTCTGTGGTGTGTATCATAGTCTGGTCTTTGCGCTTTCGCGGATATGATGCATCTGTTGTCTGACGCATCTGCCGTGTGCTCATGGACAAGGCCAGAGAACGAACCTGGGTTGGGAGTGTTTATGCTTTCACAGTTTGCTCTCTCAGTTTGCTTCGGCATTGGTCTCCTCTTGCAGAAGGCCTATTGGGACCAAGCTAGAAATACAACAGGGAAGCATTCTGAAAGTTTCCTGAGAATGTGTCCTTTGGCAATTAAATTTTCTATAGATTTTAACCCTCTAACAACTACCAGTGCAGTTTTTGTCAAGTCTCGTAACCTGACTATAGCCAATTATCCACACTTCCCCCTGGGCCTCTGGGTCTTCATCTGAAAAGTGAAGAGATTAGGAAAGACGATTTTGAAGTCCTCCACCTCTAAGATTTAGAATTGGATACTTCCTGAATAGTAAAAATCAGATTTTTTGACACTAGAGCAATGGGTTTGTCCACCTTTATGTATTCTCCCAAACTGATCTGCCTCAAGCCACTGAAACCTTTCCCTGATAGAGACATGGCAGGCTGGTAAAGCCTATAGACTTTCCTCAAGTAACTAGGCCCAGCCAGTTGGCCCGTGCTCACATCCTATTCATTTATCTTTTCGTTCAACAAACACTTGTTGAAGGCCTGTTATGTGCTACGTTCTAAGCTTCAGAACTTGATCCCTGGCTTTTTATCCATCTTCCCTTACGCTCGCTTTGTTTGACAGACCAGACAGACAACAGCATAGGAAATGCATATTTAATCATTCTCTTGAATGGTCAGAACTCAAAAATCAAGTTTTCTATAACAAAATGTAATACAGTCACATTTAGGTGGGTCCAAAGTGCCGGGAGGCCAGTGGTCAACACATGAAGAGTATGGGCAGGGGTGTTGTGAACAGAACATTCTTTTCGATCAGAGCTTCATTCCTCAGGGTCTCACTTCAAAGGTTCATCGCCCCTGCTTTCAGAAGTCTCTGTGTGTTTCAAGGAAGGTACATGTTTTTGTTGCCTTAATTTGAAGTGTGACCAGGCAAGGTCCTGAGCTCCAAATTTGGAGCACGAGAACTTGAGATGGAGTGCAGGCCGATCTCACAGAGCCTGATTTGTACACTAGGACAGAGGGAAAGGACCCAGCTGAAGATAACCCCATCGGGAATGCCTGATTGCCTGACACTGAGCTCTGGCTGTCTGTGCTGACACCTCTGTGCTGAGACCGAGGACAGGGCCTGTTTGTGGGAAGCAAACAGCTTTGTTTGCTCCCCTCTTTTCTAGATCCTTGTCTACTCTGCATCAGGGCTTCTTGTGACAGCACGACTGACGTTTTGGGCCAGATAATTCTTTGTTGTGGGTCCTGTACATTGTAGGATGTTGAGCAACCTCCCTGAGTTCTATCCGTGACAGTAGCACCCTCCCCTCTCCCCCGAGTTGTGACACCTCCAGTTGTCTCCAGACATATCCAGATGTCCCCTGTGTGTGGGGATGGGTGTGAAAAATCACCATCGTTGAGTAGCTGAGCATGCTCTAGATGCTGTTGAGAGTTGAGGTCATCGCCGTCCACACAGGATACAAAGCAGAAGCCTGACACCTCGTGATGATACGGTGCCCTATACAGTGATGGTGAGAGGTCCTTTCCCGGACCGTTCAGGATGAACATCATCTGGGAAATGTAATGGCATTTGTTTGTTTTAAAAACAAGAGGCTCAGGTAATTTAGAAAATCCGTGTCATAATTTTTGTGTTACATTTATGACCTTCTCCACATTTCTTTAGCATTTTTCAGGTGGAAGGAGATTCCAAGGCGCTCTTGGGTCATCCTAATGAAAAGTGACTTGACCCATCACTAAAATTCAGCCATCTCTGAATTGTGAAGGGACACCCAATTGGCAGCTTCATATTATATCCACTGCAGTTTAATTCATAGAGTAGAAGATGTGGATCTATTGCAGTCAGAACGTTCTGGGATTTTAGGGCAACATTACAGCAATATAAAGATTCAGAGACGAGGGAGATACAGTATCCCTTCCTCTCACTCCCTGGATGGGCAGGGGTAAGGGGAGGTCCCTGAGGTATGGATACACCTGTCTCCACATGCATTTTACTCAGTCTTAACACATTTCCAGTTCAGGTGAATTATGTTCCCAGCTTTAAATATACATCTTTGAAGATAGATTTATCTTGTTCATCTTGGAGTCTTCCGTGGGTTGCTTTTGGCTTTTTTTTGCTTCTTGATCTTATTTGTTCACTCCAAATTTCATTTCCCCCCAGAAATATAAAACTAGGTCATATCTTGTGGTGAAATACTTCTGCAGATTCCTGGGCTTCTGAAAATAACAGAAATAGGCTATCATTACAACCACTCAGCAAACATTTATTGAGAACTGATGGTCTCTGCCCCTGTATATGGGTATCTCTTGTTCAGAAATGGGCTGGTTATTCTGTATTTTGATGGTGTTCCACCAAGACCACATGGTACCATGGGTTGCTGGGGGAAAGGAGATGGCTTGAGTCTCTTCTTAAGGGAGGGGATCATCCTTAGAGCAAACAGGAACTGAGAGATGAACTATGAGGCTCTTGGGTAGAAGCAGAAAGATGACTTCTGCTTGAGTTTCCAACCAAGGAAAGCATGTGACCTAAAGTGTTGTGACCCGTGTTGGTTGGCAGCTGTCTCAGAGCTTCCTGGGTGTAATCCGACACTGCCTCCCCCGCTCCCCGCCCCCCGCCCTCAACATGTAGGTCAGGAAGAGATCCAAGGAGGCCGGTTACTCCAGGTTGGTAGGTGGCAGTGTCAGTGAGCAGAGGGCACTTACATATGAGGCTTGTCATGGGCGACAACAAGATGAGTGGATCCCTGCAAATCTTTATACATAAAGGGGCCTTCAGGAGGTTCAAATACCGTGCAAGGTGTTCTCAACACCACATCATCATCTCAAGGCCATGTTCTTGGAGCAGCCTCTGGGAGTGGGAAAGGCAAGTGGGAACCTCATTCCAAGGACAGAGGAGGAGGTGAGGAGCCTCTGATCACCCGGGTCTAGCTCATAGGTCAACTGACAGTCACGTCTTTTCATTGACCTTCCCCAACCGTCACTTATAATGTGTGTCATAAGTAATGATCTATTTGGTTATTAAACAAAATATTTCAAGGTTATCCCTCTATAGTTCTAGGGAGAAAGAGCTAATCAGTTAACAGTATATAACCTATACATACTGCATGTGAACATTATCCCCTACATGTATGTCACGGCTTTTAAAAAAGCCTGCAAATTACTGCTTGAAGGGAATACAAGGTAAAGATGAATAAGCTATCCTTTATAGGTCAGATTATCTAGTTGCAGGATATTAAAAATGTATTTACAGTGTTGTGGGGCATGAAGGAAAGAAGAAAGCGTTCCTTCTACTAGTGAGATCCTCAAGAGAGAGTTTCCTCAGGGAAATCTCCCTCCGCTGGCAGCGGTGGAGGCGGGAACTGGCTGGTTTCCTTACAGAGAATCCTTTCTGTGCACTGCGCGGTTGTGTTTGGAGCAGGAGAAAGAATGAAAAGCAGATCAACAGAGCTTCGCCTGCCCTACTTAACAATCTAGGCAAGGAGTGGATGTGCCTTAGAGAGTGGAAGATATCATACATTATTCATGCTTGCCAAGGGGATGTGGAATAAAGGGACCATCAGGAAAGTGGGCCATAAGCTGGGAAGCACTCGATTGAAATGGGTGAAGGAAGCATGGCTTTGGGTTGCCATAGAGCAGAGGGCACCTCCAGGAAGGAGCAGTGAAGAGAGGGAGCAGAGCCAGAGAGAGGAGTGGGCAGCTGAGAGGAGGAGGAAGTTCAGGGCAAGACACCATTAGAGAGCTGTGACCGCATGGCGGAGGACTTCAACTTTGACGTAACAGTGCCCAGAGAGTCACTTGAGGTCCCAGAGCAAAGGAGGGCTGTGATGAGAATGGCATTTGAATAATTGTATTTTGCTATCTTGCTTCCCATCACCGGAAACAGGGAAAGGAAGGAGCCAGTATAAGGTTTTAGAACTAGGCTGGCGTGTGAAGCAATGAAGGCTGGATTAGGGTCAATCTGAGGGACAACATGGGACAGTGCTGCAGGGCTTGGTAGCAAATGGACACGAAGGCCACGGGGGACAAAAATAGCTCTAAGGTTGTGAGCCTGGGCCCATGGTGGTGATGCCACCGAATGTGGTCGTGCCGACTGGAGCTTCATGAGCTCAGCCGTGTACAAATTCCACACGCAGAAGGTGATTCAGAGAGAAACGTCCTGCCAGTGATAGGAGCCGGAGGACTGAGGTGACAGGGAGAAGCCTCAACAGGGGAGGCTGGTTGCTGAGTCACTTGTCAAATTTCTGGTCAAGAGGAGATTTGCTGGGGTGGGTAGGAGGAGGTCACTTGTGGGAGCAATGATGTTCATGTCATGATGCTTCGGAAAATAACGGTGAAATCCAGGGGAGCTCTCGGGGCCAAACATCTCTTTCTCTTTCTCTTTTTGCCTTGTGGATGGGTGACTCAATAAATGAAAAGATGTTTGAATTTACACAAATATTTGAATGGCATCGTTGTTTTCTGCCCTAAGCGTATCGATGAGAGCTACACTCTTTGTTCACAAACATTTACCTTTCACAATACCGGTGGGAATAGTGCCCACTGGCCCGGCACCGTCCAGTGTTTCTCTCTGAGGCTGACGCCGGAGGTTGCTTGCCTCGTGTGAGGAACACCAGCACCCACGGAACCGACCCCCACCCCATTCGTGATTCATCTCACCTGTCGTACCAGTGACTGTGCATGTTTCCGTGTGGCCAAGGCACCTTATTTGAGCATCAGGTAAGGGGAGAGAGGCAGGAGTCCCCAGATGATGGCAAAGAAAGAAGAGACACACAGGGAGGCCTTTGAGTTCAGCAGCTGCAGGTGACTCCGCCTTTTAATCTCCGAGTCTACAAAGGGACAGAAACAAGTTCAGGGTCACAGAGGAAAAGCTGGAGGTCTTCTTCGCATGGCTGGGTAGCAAAGAAAAGTACCTGAAAGACTCAACAAGTTGTTTCTAGTACACCTTACACCCCAGTTGGGGGGCAGTTCTGTACCCTACTCTCTACCCCTCGAAACTGGCTTAAAATCTGAGCTTTCTCCTTCTTCAAAGGAAGTTCCATTCTGTGGTCCACTCCAGCGGACACTCAGCCAAATGAAAAACAATGCCAATACAGAGATTGTTACTGCTCAGCAAACAATGAATAGGGTGAGCAGTCATGGCCAGTGTTTGCTTTCAGACGTATTCGTTCCTGTAGGCAGGCACCTTTGCAGGCTCTGTGTCCTTTGCTTCCTCACAGCACTACAAAGCGTTGAGAAAGTATCGTCCTCATCTTGAAGCAGAGAAAGGTAGAAGTGAAGAAATGAAATTACTCTTCTTTTACTCTCTTTCCTTCCTAGACACCCCAGTCTCATCTAGTTCATTCCAGCAGTGACACTTGCTAGCTGTGTGACTTTAGGCAAGTTACTCAATCTGTACATGCCTCAGTTTCTTCACCTATAAAACCAGGCTAAAAATAATAACAACCTACTCCCTAGACAACTTCTGAGGATTAGTGAGTTAATACGTGTAAAGCACTTCGAACAGGACCTGGCGCGTACTAAGCACTCAGGAGGTATCACCTGGCACAACAATAACAGTGACCCCACTCCAGCCCAGTAAGTTTTACTTCCACTAGGCTGATGATCGCTTCCAGACCCACCTCCATAGTGTGAACCCCCGTCCCGAGTTCCACCTCTGGATTTACGGCTGCTACCGAATATGTCAGTTAAAAATTTAATCATTCAGTAAATATTTTTTGAGCACCCGCCATTGGGGTTCAAAGGAGTCCAGTAAAAAAACAAAACAAACAAACAAAAGCCCCACTCTCTTCCCCAGCTGAGTTCTGAATCAATTAAAGGATGGGAGAAAAAAAGTGGGGCTGCTGGAAGACCAGAATAGCACCTTTATTATTGGCAAGGGCGACAATAAAAGATGAAGCTTCGTCTTCAGGCAGATGGGCTGCAGCCCAGGCTGTCCCAGGGACGGGCAGCACCAGACAGGGACAGGCTTCCCGTCACAAGGGCAGATTGCGCCTGGGAAAAACTGGTGGCTTAGAGGAGCGGAATAGAATGTAGACTTCCTGGGGGTTAGCTAGAGAGGAAAGGAAAGAATGGAGCCAAACTCCTTGTGTCTAGCTTCTCCTATTAAGGTCACCCATCAGATAAATTAATTCCTCCTCCTCGGGGAAGAAGGGGAGGAAGGGAGAGAAGAGAGAGGCTAGAAGGGTTACACTGATGGGGATCCCTGATCATGGAAGGAAAAATGCAGAGTAGAGTTGAAAGTTTGGGGGAGAATGCTGTCACATGCTGGATAATGTGCTAAGCAGTGGACATGTGTACCTGTGTGCACAATGGGCCTTGTCAGCTCCACATCTCTAGAACCCTCGTCTTCATGTGTCTTCTCCTGTGTTTTAGGTTTTTTTGTTTTTTTTTGTTTTTTTTTGTTTTTTTTGTCGACAGCATTACTAACGTCCTAAGCAAGCTGGGTAGAAATATCAGATGCATTTTGACTCGCTCTTGCTGTCGTCCGTCCTATTTGTGTCACCAAGATCGTTTTTTTCATTAACCTTTGATTCTTCCTCTTTCCTTTCCACTCTCACTGCACCAGGTGAAGCCCTCATCGTTTCTCCCCTGGACCGCTGCCATAGGTTCCTGACTTCATACTTTCCTACTCTATCAAAACCATTCTTCTTGTCCTTCAAAGCCTAGCTTGAACTCTGCCTCGTCTACTGAGCCACAGTCATAATTAGCGCTTTCCCCTAGACGCCATGTCTACACAGTGACTGACCTCTCTTATGACATTTGTGTTATTCATCTCAGTAGTTCATAGGGCTTGAAAAACTGCTTTGTACATGTTTGGCACACAATAGATACTTGCTGAATGAATGGCCTAAATTAGCAGTATAGTCAGAGAACACAGGATATAAACTTCATGGTCTCATCTGATTGTTTAAAAACATGTATGGAGTCATTACTTTGTACATGGCAAGAAGGAATTGTGTTAATTTTCTGAATTTTGAGCTATGTCATGCTGCCATATGGTAGTCAGTCCTAGTACTGATACATGGGACACTTGTCCTAATGCATTCAATAAACACGTGTGGAAAAAGAATCTGCTCACAGAATAAAACGTGTGCTCAATTTCTGCAGTTTGTTCAGTTATTGTCCTTTCTATTAGAAGGCATTAGTTACACAGTTTGGAGATATTTATTGAGATCTGAACTGAGATACTGGTGTTAACACCCGTTGTTCTAAATGCCCAATGCTTCATTCCCCCCTTTCCTTCTAGGAAGGCCTTCCATCAGGTACTATCCCATTGGTCTGTGTGTGGGCAGCTGACCCAAGTTGAGCCTTTCTGAGAATGTAGGATAGGACTGAGGGATTAAGGCTCACTCTGGTTACTCTACTGAGTGAGAGAGACTTTTAAACTAGGAACTCTTGGCACTCACATTCTGCCCTAGAGACTAAAACAAGAGAAACCAAATTAGAGAGTAAAGAGAGACTAGAGAATTGACAATCCCAATAGAGTTTAAATCCTTGGTTCCAGCCCTTCCTGAAGCCAAACCGCACTTTGTGTCCTTGGTTCTACAAGATACCCTAATGTTCTTTTATTAAATTTCCCTTTTACCTTAGGCCTGTTTGAGCTGGTTTTCTGTTGCAGTCAACTAAGAGCATCTATTTAGTACAGTCACCAATTTGTTCCTCAGGATGGCAGAAGAGCTCTCTTTTTCTCATATGTATGATTTTTTTTTTTTTTTTTGGTTAGGTACTTTTTTTATTGTGGTAAACATATCACAGATGTACCATCTTTACCATTTTTAAATGTACAGTTCAGTAGTTTTAAATATATTCACATTATTTTTTCAACGTTTTTTATTTATTTTTGGGACAGAGAGAGACAGAGCATGAACGGGGGAGGGGCAGAGAGAGAGGGAGACACAGAATCGGAAACAGGCTCCAGGCTCCGAGCCATCAGCCCAGAGCCTGACGCGGGGCTCGAACTCACGGACCGCGAGATCGCCACCTGGCTGAAGTCGGACGCTTAACCGACTGCGCCACCCAGGCGCCCCCAAAACTTTTTCATCTTGCAAATCTGAAACTCTATACCCGTTAAACAACTCCCTTTGCCTTTCTCTTCCCCCAAGCTGCTGGTAAACACCATTCTACTTTCTATTTCTATGAATTTGACTACTCCATTAGATATCTCATATGAGTAGGATCATAGAGGATTTGTCTCTCTATGACTGGCTTATTTCATGTAGCATGATATTCTGAAAATTTACCCACTTTGCAGCATGTGAGAGAATTTCCTTCCTTTTTAAGGCTGAGTAATATTCCATTGCATGCATGCACCACATTTCGTTTATTCATATATCTCTTATGGACATTTTGGGTTGTTTCCATCTCTTGTCTATTGTGAATCATGCTGCTATGAACATGGGTAAACAAATATCTCTTTGAGAACCTGCTTTCAATTCTTTCAATTCTTTCAATTCTTTTGGATATATACACAGAAGGTATTGTTAGATCACATGCTAGTTCTATTTTTAATTCTTTGAGGAATCTCCATTCTGTTTTCTAGAGTGGCTGCACCATTTTAAAATCTCATCAACATGTACAACGGTTCCAAGTTCTTCACATCCTCACCAAAACTTGTTTTTTCCTGGGATTTTTTTTTTTTTTTTTGATACTAGCTCTTCTAATGGTTGTGGGGCGATTTGTGATTTTGATTTGCATTTCTCTGGATGATTTGTGATATTGAGCATCTTTTCATGCGTTTGTTGGCCATTTGTTTGTATCTTCTTTGGAGAAATGTCCGTTCAAGGTCTTTGTCCATTTTTTTAATTGGGTTATTTGATTTTTGTTGTTGTTGTTGAGTTGTAGAAGTTCCTCATGGATTCTGGATACTAACCCTTTATCAGATATATGATTTGCAAATACTTTCTCCCATGCCACAGGTTGCTTTTTCATATTTACAATATTAAATTAAAAAGTAAACTGACAGAAATATGATTTATTCAGTTAAATTCAGCAAACATTCTTGATCAAACTGGCTAGGGGGTTGTCAATTTTGTTAATTCTTTCAAAGAACCAGCTTCTGGTTTCATTGATCTGTTCTACTGTTTTTTTGGGTTTCGATAGCATTGATTTCTGCTCTAATCTTTTTTTTATATTAAATATAATTTATTGTCAAATTGGTTTCCATATAAGACCCAGTGCTCATCCCAACATGTGCCCTCCTCAATGCCCATCACCCACTTTCCCCTCTCCCCCACCCCCCATCAACCCTCAGTT